GCACAGGGGGTGAAATCGAGCATGAGAAAGCCCACTGATCCCAACTACCCCTTTACCCCTTTCCGTGAACCTCCTCCCCAGTGCGGCTGAGGTCTTCCCACTCCAGACGCCCACATGCTGCCCATGCTACCCTCATTCCTGGAGCCTGAGCCACCTCATTTTCCTTTCCCACAGCACTTACAGAATCCTGCCAACTTCCACAATGCTGCCACGGAGCTGCTGGACTGGTGTGGAGACCCACGGGCCTTCCAGCGGCCCTTTGAGCAGAGCCTGATGGGCTGTTTGACGGTGAGTCTGCACCCTGTGCACCTGCATTCCTGCCCAGGAACGTCAGCTGAGGGCTAGTGTGCCCGTCCAGGTGTCAGAGAGGTTGTCAGACATTGGGAGGTGACATCAGTGAGAGTTGGGTCCCTGGGAAGACACTGGTGCTAGGGGGATGGCCCTATTGGGTGTGTCCCCCACGTGCACACCCCCCAGGGGACCTGGAATTGATGAGGAGGCACAGTCCCTAGGGATTGTGTGGGTTCCCACACTTGATGAGAAAGACTCAGGGCTCACTTTGTGGGTCACTGTTTCATCATAAGCACAGTAGAGAGACTCTCAAAGGGTTTTCAGCCATTTTTTATCCAGTCGTTCATTCATTCATTCACTTAGCAAACGTGTGGAGCTTCTTTTGTCGTCATGCATCCATTCAGGTAAGCATTGATTGAACCCCTCTTACATCCATCCATCTAGCCAAATAAGCATTGATCTCTCATTGATCACGTATGATCCCTCTGATAAGTCCGGGGAAACTGAAGATGAATAAGGCTTCACCGAGCCTGGTTTCCTCTGTAGTGGAGGAGGCAGATGTATAAAGAAGTGACTGAGAAAATCATGTCCACAGTGAAGGCAGCACAGAGAAGGGAATCCTGAACTGGCTGGGTGGCGGGATGGGGCGTGGAAAACGGAGGAAAGGAAAGGAGCCACCCTTCGTGTGCCAGACTCTGCCAAGCAACAGAGGGGAGCAGGAGTGCTCAGGCACACGGAACAGCATCTGCAAGAGGCCAGAGAACTGGAAGGGTCGAGGCTGCAAACTGGGCAGAGGCCAGGTCCAGAGTTTGTGGTATGATCGGCCAGGCTAAGGAGCTTGCCATCTAACAGGACCCATGAAAGTCACTCAAAGCTTGGGAATGTCCCCAGCCATGTGGCCTGTGTCCATAAGTGTGATGACCAGAGAGGGCAGCTGCTCAGAAGGCCCTGAGTCCGCTTTGAAAGGAATGTGGGTAAACAGATGGCAGGGGAGCCCGCCTAGCCTGAGGCTGGGAGAGGAGGGACATGGCGGATGTCTGGCCAGGCGGGAACAGTGGGCATGGTCCACGGGCACCAGGCTTCCTGAAAAGCTGGGAGGAGACAAAAGGCCCACATGGCCTTGGCCTGGAGAGGAAGAAATAGCGGCCACAGCTATCGTGACAAAGCATCTGTTCTGTGCCCGGTGGGGAGCCGGCCCACAGAATATGCCGTCCCACCAAATCCCCTCAGTGAGCCTGGCCTGCAACACTCCCCATTTTACAGAGGAGGAAACTGAGACTTGTAACTGACTTCCCAAGGGTGCACAGCCTTAGAGGTGGGCCTGGGATTCCAGCCGAGGCCCTGCCTGTCTCCAGAGGGGATGCCCTTGGCCATTAGGGATGCCAGACAGGGACGCAGCCAGGACCCTCCTGGGGCTCCTCTGCTTGTCAGAAGTCAGCACCATCTGGCTCCCTCAGGCCACCGGGCCAAATCGAGCAGCCACCTGCACTGCCCAGTCTTCCTCATCCTTCAGCCCATGGGCTCCCCTCTCCCTCCCCACAGCCCTCTAATCTTCTTTGTGGGGATCTGGTTCCAGGCTAAGCCCTGTGGGCAGGGACAGATGTTGCCAGAGGCCCCCTCACTTCCACCCCAGCGGAGGATGGAGGAGGTGGGGACCTTGTATGATGTGTGGCCAGCCAGGCTGCCACAGTCTCCAGCACACTGCCCCGAGCCTGACCCTGTCTATCTAGGATGTAGGGACTGGAGACTGAATCAGAGAGCCGCCCTCACCAGCCTGGATGGACCAAGAACTGGCTCTGCCTTGGCCCTCTTGTCCATGCGTTCATTCACGAACATTCACTGGGCTCTTGCTGGGGGCCAGGCTCTGTGCTGGGCCCCAGAGGCACCATTATCAAGGGGCTGGCCTGCCAGGGAGAGCCTGACATTGAACCTGCAAAGGAACAAACAGGGACACATGCTAGAGCTCCGGGAGAGAGAGCAAGGGCACAGGGCAGGAAATGTCTCCTGAGGAGGTGACCTCCTTGGGAGGATGAGAGAGCAGGGTGCTCCAGGCAGAGGGAACTGCTGATGCAAAGGCCCTGAGCCTTGCTCTGTTCATAAACAGAAAGAAGGTTCAGGTGGCTGGAGCCCAGGGGAGGGAGAAGGGTGTGAGATTAAGCAGAGGAAGGAGGCAGAAAGCAGCTAACGCAGGGCCTGGGCATTATTGGAAGGGCAGTGGGGAGCCCTTGAAGGGTTGTCAGTAGGAGAGTGATGGGCTGTGATTTGCATGGGGGCAGGAGCTCTGAAGGGAGCATCTTTGGAGGGCAGGATGGAGGGATCATGGAGGGCTTCCTGGAGGAGGGAGGGTGCCATGGGATCTGGCTGGACAGAGAGGAAGCCATGGCAGGGGAGGCTGTGTAGACAGTGCCCACTCTCCTGGGCCTCTGCTCCCTGCCCCCAGTGTAAGGCATGCACCTGGTGGAATGGCCCCCACTCCTGCAGCCTGGCCACAGCTGCAGAGACCTGAGTCTGGCTGTCCCTTAGAGGTCAGTAGAGCCAGCAGCTTGAAGGGGCTTGCTGGGGGAGTAGTGGGGATTGTCATAAATGACACTTCAGTGCTCAGGGTATTTTCCCTAGGCACTGTCTCTTTGGATCCTTATAAAGACCCTTTGAGGTGGGCAGCGAGTCACTACTCCCATTTTACAAACAAGGCCACTGGGAGGGGGAGCAGCTTACCCCAGTCCCAGGCTGGTCCCACAGACTCCCTGAGAACCTCTGGGCCCTGTTGCCAGTACCCCCATTCCCCAGGCACCCTCAGCCCCAGCCCTGCCCCATGGAGATGAACAGGATGCGGGAGGTAGATCCCAAGGGACCTAGGTGGGGCAAGACAGCTGTCCCCTTCCCCACCCACCACACACACACCCTCCCCATCCAGGTGTCAGCCTGAGACCTCCAGGTTGCTGCAATCCCCTGGGTGACCTCTGGAAGCAAACTCCAAATTCCTCTGGATCCAGCTTACTTTGGGGATATAAATTAAAAACCACTTAGCCCTGAGCAGCAAATGGACACATTTCTGTCATACTCGCTTCTAAGCAGCTCAGGCACAGTTAAAGTCACCCCAGACCTGGCCCTGCCTTCCCCTCTGCTTCACACCTTGAGACTTAAGGATGCGGAAGCACAGGACCCCCAGGCCCTGCCCCAGGAGTGGGCACAAGCCCCGGGCCACCACTTCCTCATCAGAAGTAGGCCCTTCCTCCTCCAGTAGTCAGGCAGAGCAGCCCCTCTGGGCGCCCTCTCCCTCCCTCTCGTGACCTTAGGGAACGGCACAAGACAGAGGAGACAGTGGGAGAGCAGGTCCGGGAGGGAAACAGGTGTCACATCAGCAGGCCTCTTCCTCATCTCCCCAACGAGGACGCCTCGCAGCTTCAGAGGCGGTCAGAGTCAGAAAGACCTTTCAGGTCCCGCCCCTCTGCCAGGAACGGAGACCCCTTCTCCAGCATTCCCCAGACAGCCTGTCCTCCTTTGCGGCCAGCAGGCTGGACGCTTTTCAAGACAACTCAGTTGTTTTGTGGGACTAATGTAATTTACCATGTGACCTTGAGCAAGTGACCGTCTGTTTTTTTTTTGGTTTTTTTTTTTTAATTTTTTTAAATTTTAGAGACAGGGTCTTGCCCTGTCATCCAGGCTGGAATGCGGTGGCACGATCATTGCTCACTGTAGCCTCGACCTCCTGGGCTTAAGTGATCCTCCTGCCTCAGCCTCCTGGGTAACTGGGACTAGAGGCGCCTGCCACCATGCCAGGTCAATTTTTAAAATTTTTTTCTTAGAGGTGGGGCCTTGCTATGTTGCCCAGGATGGTCTCAAACTCCTGGGTTCAAATGATCCTCCCACCTCAGCCTCCTAAGTAGCTAGGTACCACAGGCCTGCACCATCACACCAGACTAAATAAATTTTTGGACAGATGGGGCTGGGCACGATGGCTCACGCCTATAAGCCCAAGCACACCTGAGGTCAGGAGTTCAAGACCAGCCTGGCCAACATGGTGAAACCCTGTCTCTACTAAAAGAACAAAAGAAAATTAGCTGGATGTGGTGGCGCGCGCCTGTAATCCCAGCTTCTCGGGTGGCTGAGGTAGGAAAATTCCTTGAACTCAGGAGGCGGAGGTTGCACTGAGCTGAAATCATGCTATTGCACTCTAGCCTGGGCAACAGAGTGGGACTCTGTCTCAAAAAAAAAAAAAAATTGTGTACAGATGAGATCTTGCTATGTTTCCCAGACTGGTCTTGAACTCCTGGGCGTAAGCTGTCCTGCCTCAGCCTTCCAAACTGCTGGGATTACAGGTGTGAGCTACCATACCCAGCCAAGTTCTCCATCTTTTGTCTGGACTTTAGTTTCCCTCTCTGTGGCATGAGGCTGGGCTCCCTGACCTGTGAGGTCCCCTGGCTCCAGGGATCTAGGTGTCTGGCAGCCAGGATGACAGGGCGGCCTCAGGAGTGCTCCCCTGCCCCCCGCCACCGTGGGTCAAGCAGCAGTGCCTGGGCAGCCAGCAGAGGACCACAGCGCCCCAGCCACTCACGCTGGCTTTTATGGGGAGGGGTCCTTGCACCGCATAGGACCTTCACAGACAGCACCATGACCACTGGGGTGAGAGCGGCCCTCTCTTCAAAACAAGCCACACAGCTGAGCCCACGCTCCCACCACTGCCAGTCAGACCTTGCCTCCCAGGACTTTCTGGGGGTCCTCAGGCTGGGCCAGAGGAACCCAGGGGATAGCAATGCATGAGGCACTGTAGGGTCACAGGATTCGATTCAGCTTACTCTGCCACACCTGTGCTCTGTGGCGTTGACTTCCTCATCAGTGAAAGGAGGCTATTGGAGCCAGTGACCCTTCTGAATGCTGGGGCACAAATGACTTGGTGACAAGCGGAAGTCCCTGCTCCTCCACCCACCCGGTTGGCCCTTGCAGCCGCCATACAGCACCAGGCGCCTCTAGCTCTTTGGCTAGTATTTTTTCCTTTTTAACTAGAGCAACAGGATTAGCCAGTATTGGCCAAACATGGGGACTTTTGCCTTCCTTCCCTCAACCCAGGGCCAGAGGGTCCTCAGTGCAGGTTGGAAGTTATGGCGTTAACCCTTTGTGGACTGAGAAAGAAGTCTTAGCACAGAAAGGGCCCAGAGTTTTCAGCTAGACTGCCTGGATCACATCCTGGCTGTGTCACTGACCAGCTTTGAGGTTTGTTCAACCTCTGTTTCCTCATCTGTAAATCAGAGATAATAATAATAATACGTACCTGGTGGAGCTGCTGGAAGAATTTGCACTTTGTTGCAGACAAAGCACCTATGTGTGTGGGAGCCAGCATTTTCACTGCAGCACCTGTCAGCATCAGTGTTTCCCGTTGACAGCAGCCTCACGACTGCACCAGTCGGAACAGGCCACTCTGTGCTCACAGGCTTCCACCTAAGGTTCTACAAAGAGGGAAGGCACCAGAGTCCACGTATGAGCTGCAGTGGCAACCTCCAGCCCAGAACCTTCCTCCTCACTCTCTGAAGGAGAGTCTGCCTGCAGGCTTGAAATACTCAACAGGCCATAAAGAGTTAGGGACCTTGGTTTTTCTATGTGGACAGTGAGACTTATGGTGAGGGTGTCCTCACCCTGGGGTGGCCCAGAGACTGGGACATGTAGAGGGGCAAACAAAGCCCGTGGGAAAGAGGCCTAGGGAGTGTGGAAGACTTCTGTGCCAGGGGCTTCTGTTTGCAGCAGAGACGCTGAGCAAACATCCTAACCTGACAACATCCTTTTTCCTCCCAACCTGGCTCAAACATTAGCCCTGCACAGGAGGGTGCAGGGAGGGCCACAGTCCCATTCCAGGAGTCACTGGTGATCCTGGGAAGGGGAACCTGTTGGCTCCTCCCTGATTCAGCACGGGACATTCTCTGAGTCTCCAGTGTTGTTTTAAATTGGTCTAGATAAATGGTGTTCCCACCCCTTTTAGCCCCAGAGCCCCTTTCACAAATCCCTGAGATATAAAGCGGCGGTGGGGAACGATTCTGTTGGATCTGGGGGCCGGGCCAAACCCCATGGCAGTCTGAGGCCCCTCCAGGCGCCTCTGGAGCAGGTGGTTCCTGGAGGCTTGGCAGCTGAGTCCCCCCTTTTTCATAAGTACCAGCCTACTGCATCTGGGTGCTCTCCCCACTCAGCCATAGCCACCCCAGCTGCTTTCTAAATGACTCCATTTTCCAAGGTCCTTCCTTCTTAATAGAGAAAGCTAATTTTGCTGCTGTTAATGAGGAAGGCGGGTGTGAGGGAGCAGATCTGGGAGTCCCGGGACACCTGGAAATGGGTGGGGACAGAGTGAAGCCAGAGGGGCATGAACTTGCAGAGCCATCCGAGGGTCCCCTGGAGCGCCCTGTCCCACACTGCCCCCCAGGGGACCAATGGCCCTCCCAGTCTCCCGCCTCTCACCCTGCCAGCCCCTGCTTCTGAGATTTATAAGGAGATGGGTGGGACCTTCAGGCTGCAAACACATCACTGCTGTTATGGAAGCCCCCCATATGCTGGGGCTTGAGGCTAGAGACAAACCCCAGGCTGCGCATGGGAGTCCTGCAGTTTCTGGCTAAGGTTGAGGGGGCCGCAGGGTGCTTGGCATGGAGCAGCATTAGGATGCCTGCCCCATCCAGGAAGCCTTAGTCCATTAAACAGCTCTGACCTGAAGCCCCGTGGGAAGCAGTTTGTTCTAAATCAAGACTTGAGAAGGAGTCTTGCTGTTCTGCCCAGGCTGGAGTGCAGTGGTACGATCTAGGCCCACTGCAACTTCCCCATCCCAGGTTGAAGCGCTTCTCCTGCCTCTGCCTCCAGAATTGCTGGGATTACAGGTGCCCGCCACCATGCCCGGCTAATTTTTTTTATTTTTAGAAGAGACAGAGTTTCACCATGTTGCCCAGGCTGGTCTCGAACTCTTGACCTCAAGTGATCCACCTTCCTCAGCCTCCCAAAGTGCTAGGATTATAGGTGTGAGCCACCACACCTGGCCTAAATCACTGCTTTACATGAGGTGCATGCTGATTCGGAGGGGAGGGGCTGGGCCTAAGAGTCTGCATTTATAACAGGCCCCATGGAAAGGAGATGGAAGAGCCACACAGATGGAGCAGAGACCCTTAGGGCCCACCCTAAGGATGGTGGTACAGGATCCCCAGCCGACTCCTAGAATGTGGTCGAATCTGAGCCCTTGGAAGCGGCGGGGCCTATGGGTTTGCTGTCGGGCCCATTGTCAGCCTGGGAAACCCCTGAGGACGGGGCCAGGATCCCAGGGCCTGGCACAGAAGAGGTGTTAATCAGTATTTGCTGAGCGACTGAAGAAGGCACGGTAGACTCCTGGCTCCGCCTGATGGCGGGGGCCTGCCTTAGCCTGCCTACCTCACCCACTTCACCTGCAAAACGGGCATATCCACTGGCTCTGGGCTCCATGACTCACCTGCCCTCCTCCCCTCTTGCTGTCAGGTGGTCAGTCGGGTGGCAGCCCAGCAAGGCTTCGACCTGGACCTTGGCTACAGACTACTGGCCGTATGTGCTGCAAACCGAGACAAGTTCACCCCAAAGTCTGCCGGTAGGTGTCCGTGGGGGACTCCGCGATGTCATCGGGAGGTAGGGAGGGGAACTGACTCTAAACCAGGCCTGTCTGTTGTCCCTGTCGGCTGGTGCCTCCATTTGTCTAGGTGTAGTGCGAGCCCCTGAGGAAGAGCTACTCATCCAACAGGCTCTGGAACCCACAGATGGGGCTGTCCCCGTGCCTCTCCCAGGGAGTATACTTGTCTTGGAGGGTACCACAGGGCCAGAGAGGGTCCCGAGGCACACCAAACCCCAGCAGCAGGCACTGTGCTACAGGCAGGACCAGCATCAGTTCACTCCATCACCACAGTGACCCCTTGGCATAAGCACTGTGATCTCCCCATTTTACAGATGAGGAAACTGAGGCTCACTGACACTGAGGACATTTCCCAAGGCCACACAACTGGAAGGCAGCACAGCAGGGATTTAAGCCCAGGCCTGTACTTCAGAGTCAGCGTTCTTAACCTTTATACTCCACTACCTTCATTCATCCCCAAAAATTGTTTAAAATGTAACAAAATTGAAAACAAAATGAATCACTACACTCAGGGTTCCACATTGCAACTTTGTCATCACCTGCGAACCCTGTATTAAGCAGGGGCCATGGAGAGTGCCAAGCAGCATTCTGTCTGGGAGGGCTTTGAGCACTTTTTAAAGATACAGTTTTATTTTACATTTCCCACCATCCTCATAACCTTGCTTAGGCCTCAGGCGCCCTGCTAGCTTTAAGCCGGACAGACCTGTCACTTGCTAAGTGTGTGGTCTCTGAGCCTCAGCTGATCTCTCAGGGAAGGCAGGAATGATAAGGAGACCCCTGACTTCAGGGGTCATTGTAAGTGCTAGAAATACATAAAGTGCCTAGCACCATGTCTGGATATTGTTAACATTCCTTATGGAGTCAGGACAAGCAGTTGAAAAAGCAAAAAAGAAAGTTATTTCCTTTGTATAACAATAAAACGGACGTTTTCACTGAATTCATCAGTCAGTTCTTTGGAGTGTATATAGACACAGCCTTCATGAAAACGTTGTAAGGACATCTCACAATGTGTTTCCATAAATATGCTCAACTTATAATCTCACGCGGATGGCGCTGCACACGTAAGTGTGTGGTGGCCTCATTAGCCAATAGCTACTCTGAAACCCTTGGCCCGCCTGCATTGGGATATTGCTATCATATTGAATTGCTTGCCAGAAAATGGTCTTGGAATCTCACAAGGGACATCTATTCCTGATGGAGTGTGCTGTTTTCATAATGACTTAAGTCAATACAGTGTTGACAAGGTAGAAATGACTTATCAAAGACACGTACCTCTTGAGTGCCCATACTGTGCAGGCACCTGGCAAGGGCTGAATTTACAAGGGCAACTAAACAGAAAAGGTCCTGCCTCGAGAAACTCACAGTGCAGAGCAGGGGCCGCAAGCTTTTTCCATCAAGGGCCAGACAGTATATATCTTAGGCTGTGGGGGCTCTGTGAAAGCTGCCATAGATAGTACGTAGAGGAATGGAGTTGGCTGGTTCCACGAAAACTTTATTTATGAAAACAAGTGCTGTGTGCAGTGGCTCACACCTGTAATCCCAGCACTTTGGGAGGCTCGGGTAGGTGGATCACTTGAGTTCAGGAGTTCGAGACCAGCCTGGGTAACATGGTGAAACCCCATCTCTACAAAAAAATACAAAAATTAGCTGGGTGTGGTGGTGCACGCCTGTGGTCCCAGGCTGCTTGGAAGGCTGGGATGGGAGGATCACTTGAGCCTGGGAGGTGGAGGTTGCAGTGAGTCAAGATCGAGCCCCTGCATTCCAGCCTGGGTGATAGAGCAAGACCCTATCTCAAAACAACAACAGCCAAGAAACCAGAACAAAAAAACCAAGTGATTAACTATACTTCCTGATCCCTAGTCTAGAGGGAGAGGAAAACATCGATCAAATAATTAGAGGGGTAGGGGGGTGTGTGTGTGTGTGTAAGCTCAAGCTGTGATAAGTGCCTTGAAGGAAAAGTGAAGGATGGCAAGGGGATGTTGTTGAGGGCAGACCACTCTGGGGTTGTAGCAGTCTCCCCCGAGACCCAAAGGTTGGTAAGTGAAGAAAACAAGAAAGAGCATCTTTGCAGTTAAGGGGACAGCCTGTGCAAAGGTGTTGAGGTGGAAGAGGAGCATGCATAGCTTTTTGTCAGAACTAAGAGAAATGCAGTGATTCTGGAGCCCAGAGGCAGGGGGTACATGGCAAAGGCGAGGCTGGAGAGATCAGCAGCAGCGGAAACATTCAGGGCCTGTCTTGGAGGTCACGGTCTTTGTCCTGAAAGTAATGGGAACATGGCTAAATGCTCATTTTGTGACGACGGCTCTGGCTATAAAAGAACAGATTGCACGGGGCCTGGAAGCCCACCTGGATGTAGGTAGCCGGTTGACAGATCACTGGGGAGGTCGGGGTGAGGATGATGGTGGCTGGATCAGGAAGACGAGTGGAATGGAGACAGAGGGATATTTAAGAGGCAAAACTATGCCACAGAGGGAGAAGGAGACCTGGAGAATGGGCTGTCCCAGGAGCCCAGCGCCTCTCCAGAGGAGCAGGAGAGACTCAGGTCTCCGTGCAGCCCCTCCACAAAGGGTCACTGAAACCCCTGCCCTGCTGACACATGCTGGGCGTTCTCATATGTTTTGTGGCGGTGCCCAGCTTTGTGAGACACAGAATACTATCTACATTTATGGATGAAGAAATGGAAGCTTAGAGAGGTCCTATGACTTCCCTGAGGTCACCCAACTCATAAGTAATGGTCTGGAACCTGAACTCCTAGCCCCCTGGCTGCAGGCCCAGGGCTCTGCCTGCCCCATCACAGCAGGCCTGGGCAGCCATCCATTTCTGTTGGAGAGAGCCCTTCATGCTGCTCAGGGGTCTCTAGCAAGGCCTCTGAGTGGCATTCCCAGCATCACTTCTTCACTTGAAACAGGGATTTGTTCTTTCCTCCATCTGCACCCCCGCTTGAACACAGCCTTTATAATTTAGAAAGCCCTTTCCCATGCATTGTGTCTGTGAACTCATGTGACCCTCTGACACTACACAGGCTCCCAGGAGATGAATTCTCAGTGTACCCGTTCTGCAGCTGAGAACACTGAGGCACAGGAGTGCCTGTGGCTTGGCCATCCTTGAATTTCCTTATTAGGAGTCAAACCCTTGTCAGTGCCCACAGCCATGACTAACTACCTTTCAAGGCCACCCCTCTAGACATACGGGCTCTTGGGATCCCAGTCACCCCCTGCTTGCCCCATCTTCTGGAAAGGAAAGGGGGCCAGTCTGAGGGGGGAGCCTCCACCTGCTGGTTTTATTTGAGGGGTGAAGGGCCTGCCAGGGGCAGGCTGGGCCATAAGAGGGGTGGAGGCCATGGCGAGTCAAGCTGGGACCCCAAGTCCTAGATATGGCACTGGCGCCGGGCCTCCTCTTGGCCACCTGTCCGAGCTGTGGCCTCGTCTGTGAAGACAGCTGTGAAGACAGCCCATGTCATGGGCTGCCTGTGAGGATGCAGTGGGACCCCCTAATAATGGGAGTGAGGAAGGGGCCCAGCTAATACCTGACACACACTGGGGGCCAAGTAAATATGACCCTCCAGCCTTCCTCCTCCGCTTCCATATGTCTGTCTCTTAGCCAATGTGACTCCCAGCCTCTCTAAGACCCTTTCTGTGGCAGCAAGCCTGTTTCCCACTGGCCTGTCTCCCCTTGTCTCTGTTCGTGTGCGTGACCTGCAGTGACCCTGCCCCTGGGCACAGCCCCAGTGTGCCTGTGTGGGGTTGGCCGCTCCCACCTGCCCAGCCCACTCCCAGGGAGGCCTCTGCAGTTCCAGAACTCGCTCCAGCCCTCAAGCCCCTTCAGCCAGTCTGGACCAGCTGTCCGCCCTCCTGCCTTTGCACACCTGTCTGACGTGCCTGTGCAGTTCTGCCCTCCCAGGGCTCCCCGCTCTGTTCTCTCTTTGGTCTCCGTGTCTGTAGGTCTGTCTCTATGCAGCGGCCCCTGTCCATCTCTGGCTTCCCATGGCTTTCTCTGCCTTCCTGGGTTTCTCTGGGTCTCAGACTTTTTCCCTCTGTAGGTCTGTGTGTATGGTGTGTGTGTGGCTGTGTATGTTTGTGTCGGGGAGAGTATATGGCTTTGTATGTGGGTGTGTGCCTGTGTACCTGTGCATGCCTCTGTGTGTGTCTGCATAGCTGTGTACGCGTGTGTATCTGTGCATGCTATGTATGGCCATGTACATGTACATGGCTGTGTCCATGGTGTGTGTATGTCTATGATGTATGTGTACCTGTGTGCATGTCTGTGTGTGCGTGGTTGTGTACATGTATGTATCTGCATGGTGTTTGTGCATGGCTGTGTATATGTACATGCTTATCTGTGTCTGCATGCATGTTATCTGTGCGTAGGTGCATGCCTGCGTGAGTCGCCCTGGCGCTGCGTCCCCCTGTCTGTCTCCCTTGTCAGGAGGCCAGGCCAGCCAAGGAGGGCCAGGATGAGATCATGCAGTGAGCGAGCTTGGAGCGGGGCTTTGTCAGGAGAGCTGGCGGTGAGCCGGCCGTGGTGCAGGAGCACGTGTGTGCATGTGCGTGCATGCATGCTTGTGTGTGTGCGTGTGTGTGTGTGTGTCCTGGGAGAGTGCTAAGGAGGCGAGTGCAGGCAGTCATTGCAGCAGCCGCCAGGCAGGCGGCTCCACGCGGCCCTGGACGCCCAGCCCCCAGCTCTTTGTTCTGGCGCAGCCTTTAGCCTCAGAGCGCGCTCACAGGAGCATGTGCGTGCGCGGGCGGGATCCTCCTCCTCACCAGGCCCCCTACCTCCTCAGTACAGAAGGTCACCTGTCCGGCCCGGCATCCTGATACTCCCTTAATTCTCCCCAGGCCTGGCCTTAGCATTGCCCCACCCCCACCCTCCATGCCAGCCCGAGGGGACTTGGCGGGCAGCGCTGAAATGTCAGCCTCCTCAGCACCGAGCAGTCCCATGCCTGCTGGCACCGTGGGCACCAG